ACCCCACTCAATGCAAACCAACCACCCATAGTTACAAAAACAGGTGCAAGAGGGGTGGGAATGCCAGATCTGAATGGGAGGTAGGATGCAAGAGTGGGCTGAGAGTGGGGGTCTGTGTAGAAGGGAAGGTGCAGGAGTGGGCTGGGGGTGGAGGTCTGTGTGGGAGGGAGGGTGTAGGAGCAAGGTGCAGATGTAAGGTCTCAGTGGGAGGAGGGTATGTGAGGGGAAGCTAGTAGAGGTCTGGGCATGAGACAGATGGAGGATGCTTATCTGGTTCTGAGCCCCCCTGCCACTTCCAAGCTCCACCCCTGCAGTTCCCACTGGCCAGGTTTCCAGCCAATGAGAGCAGCGAGGAAAGCCTCCAAGTGAGAGAGGAAATGGCAGCATGTGGAGTCACTTCCTCCTCCCACTAGTTAGATCCAGCCTACGAGGCTCGGGGGGGCTCCCCCCTCCCGCAGCAGGAAGCCAGAGCTGGCGCTCCAACTTCGCAGGTTCAGAGGTGAGGCAGGCCCAAGCCCTGAGCTCACAGCCCATCTGCAAGATGGTCACAGACCACTAGTGGTCTGTGGAGCACACTTTGAGAACCTCTGCTATACAGGAAGGCAATGGAAGGAATGTAGGCTATGTGTTGAATATTCCCTACCTAGAGAACTGTGAAGCGATCTCACTGTGGTCAGTTTTGCTTATCTTCCTCCTAAACAAAATATTCAGTTAAAGAATAAGGATGAAATGGATTAGGGATTTAAGGGTTAAAGATGTTAAGTGCTTTAATCCATTCTCATCTCAGTTACAACTTCACACTGTATTTCCGGCAATCTTGGACCAGTGTCTCTACCTCCGGTTGGTGCAGTCAAGATAAAATAACTTCAGAGGTAAACAGTAGTATCTCACCCAGGGACTCCTATCAGGATAATTATCCAGTCCTGCTCGGGCTGAAATAATTGGAACTTGGCCGTTACTTTCAAAACCAGCAGAATCACACCTTAAATCTTTCTACGCATTATACTGAAATGTGTACGAGAAACGATAAAGAGTCCACAGAGAAACAATAGAAAAGTCAAATTTTATAATTGGCATCAGCTACTGGAATATCCAATGAGCGTCTGAAAGATTAGCAAGTACCATCAAGAAATGATGGAGCTCACAGCAATAGAAGAATGGCTTCTGTATATTTTTAAGAGGCATAGACACTCTTTTCTGTCCTTATGGCTTGGGATTTGTGTTCTGCCTTCTTATGATCACAACACAATAACCAAGACACCTTGAGCCCCAAAAGCCTTGTGGCTTGTGAACTTGGCAAAGAGGGAAAAAAATGTTTAAAAAATGGTTCTAAAACGGTAAGAAACTATTCCAAAAATGCAGATGTCTGCAAATATGTATGTTTTCAGGTAAACAGAACCAGGCATAGGCATTTGCTCATCGTTTCAATGTTTCCAATTTAAACAAACAATGTAAGTCTATCTGAAATGCCTTGGGTTGCATTCTAAGGAATACACACAATTAGTAAAGTGAAAAATCCTGCTTTAATGTGTTTAACTAGGCAGGCAGGAGGTAGGGATTCTTAGGGCCTGCTCATAATAGACCAGTATAATGTGGGTGCTGTCAGCGATTGATGTCTGAGGGAGGAAGAGGTCTGAGCTATCCGACTTCATTTGTGTCTCACATCTGCAGCTATTCCAACCTTTATGTTCCAGGCTGTAACTCCTAGATTCTCTCTCTGCCTTGAACTGCATTTACCCTGGCTTGCACTAGGCTAACCCCACTACGCTCGCCTGTGGGTAGACCTAGAGTCCTGAATGTTTATGCTCACACACTATTTAGACATAACACAAGTGGTTGAAAGTCCTACTACATGAAATCAATAACTATGTGAGGTTGGAATGAAAGTCTTGCTCTAATTGTTTGTCTAAAATTGTCTAATTTTGTTTCTCTGGAAATAGTTGACAGGAGAGAGATCACATGATGATTACTTGTTGTGTTCCCTTCCTCTGGGGCATCTGGTATTGGCCACTGTGGGAAGACAGGATACTGGGATAGATGGACCTTTGGTCTGACCCAGAATGGACGTTCTTATGTTCAATTGACTTGATTGATCTATTTGTTAGTTTGCATATGGATGTCTCTAAGGACATCTACACAGCAGGGCTAAAGCAGAAATTAGCTACTCAACTTCAATTACACAATCCATAGTTTAAGTTGAAATATCTTATTTCAGCTTTTGGCGCTGCCTACACAAGGTAAAGCATTCTTCCTCCCACTTATCTTACTCCTCATAAAATAAGGGTTACAAGGAGTCAGAATAAGAAGTCCTTCAGCTCGATATCATTTTGACATATGTTGAAATAGTGGGCATACTGTGTAGCCCTGGACTATGTTATTTTGGAATAACCTCAGTTATTCCAAAATAACATGGCTGTGCAGATGTACCCTAAATAGTATAAAGTGGTGTGTTTGGCTTATCACTGTTGGCTGACTCTCCTTGTTTTATTGATATATCAGGCCCAAACGTGATTATTACGATTTCAGTCTTGTCACCGGGATTTATGCAAAACTGGAGAACAATTATTACTAGACATGAAGGGAGAAAATACAGTGAGAGTGTGTGTGTCTGTCTTTCACGTAAGACATAGAAACAGAACGCCTGAGTGAGTCTTAGGGACGTTTATTCCGCGATCACATTCTCAAGATAGTCTACTGCCAACAAATAAAATCTCAGGAACGGTGAGACAGCCAGAGCAGGTCAGACAAACCCGAAAACACTATGCTCCCTAGTATGACATAGCTTTCCAAACTGCTCAGCGACTTCAGAGTCTGGTGGCGTATCCTATCCAGCGCCAGTCCCCAAAACAACACGGTTTCTGATCTGATTCCCATGCCCAAACACGCCTCATCTTCCCCAACTTTTCCCGCGGATGCCTCAGCCAGTTTGCGGCCGAGGTGTATCTGCTTGGATCTTGATCAAGCGTTTTCAACATAAGGGGAAAAGGAGCTTTTAAGGCACAATTCGAATCAATATAGTTGCGGTTAAAAGCATGCCGCCGCGGTCTGCATTTCTCAGTTCCCTCCTTCTTCTACACTACATCTAGATGCCACTCCACGTCCCTTACCCAGGTTGGTAGCCCCCCCCCACACACACACACAGACACACACACACACACACACACACACACACACTACTTTAGTCTCCTCGCTAAGTTGACTCGCTTTCACAATAATAAAGCTATGGTCCCAAGTCAAATGCAAACTACTGACACTTTAACAAGAGTAGGGTTGATCAGGGTGTTTAGCTTTCGCTTTTCAGACTGCCCACTCACCACCACGTGTACCATCGGGCGGGGATCCCCACGGGTCAGTGGCTCTTCCGCACATGTGTGACAAAAGTGGCAGTTCTCTGCTGCGGGTTCCTCTCTACCTGTTGCTCGTGCGTGTCCCCAGAGGGACAGGTACAGAAAGGCGTTGTCACGGTTTTATGTGACAGCTCTGCCAGCCAGTGGGCTAATGACCGGCTGAACCTAAGTAACTTGACTCACCTATGGGGTTGCTCACAAACAAAACTTGCCCCTTTCAAGCCAGGGATTTGCTCCGAAGCCGGAGGAACAAATACACCGTGACCAATTTGGTACAGCGGCCCAAAGTCAGGGGATCCTTCCAGTTGTGTCGGTGGGGAGCTGGAGCGGATTACATTGACCGCGCTGATAGCCAGCGAGGTCTGTAACGCCCAGGGCTCCAAACATCCCCCCTCCAGGCAAAGCTAAGGGATGTGAGGGCCCCTTTACCCCTTTCCGCGCCGACAGGAATGCAGGGCGAGCAGTTCCCGAGCCCTCCACGCTAAACCACACACCGGGCAGAGGTTAACAAGATATTGCGCAACAAGTTCAAGCAGCTGCGGGAGCCTCCGATTTTGATGTAAAGGAGTATTAATCTCTTCGAGATCAGGAGAGGCCTGAGAATGATTCTTCTCCCCCCTCCCCCCCAAACTCCTTGGCAGGTGCGGGGACGGACACGAGGGGCGGGCGGAGTTAGCACTGGCTGTTTCTGCTTTGGAAGCTAATCGCTGCTGCCTCTCAGAAGAGCTGGCTCACCCCCCTGCAGGTGGAAGTGGAGGTGGCCTCTGGCTCTACACAGAGCTGCTAAAAGGGCTTCATGGGCTGGCAAGAGAGATCGAATGCCCCAGGATGGAGCAAAGCGACAAGAACTCAAAAACAAAAACAGCTGGGCCCGGGCCACTTACTCCTTCCTCTCTGGCCTGTCTCCTGCACCTAAGCAAGGCCCCGCGCCTCGCTTGCGAAGGATCTGCCGCTTCCCTGGCGGTAGAGCCAAGTTTTATCCCATGGGACCGGTCTTGCATTGACACCTTTCCGTTCCGAAAGACACCCCGCCTCTCCCACGCAAGCCCTCCCCGACGGGCGCTGCGCACTCCAGCAACTGGCCTGGGGGGGGGGGGGGGGGGCAATGGGGGGA